TGTGTCGGGTGGCTTTGTGATGTACCCTGCGCAATAGTTCTGTAGCCATGATGTAGCGTATTCCTACGACGTGCGGGCGGGTTGCCTAGGCCCTACTCTCTCGGCTCCGACCGTTCGCTTATGAGTTGTAGACCCCTCGCCTATGACTGAACCGGACGGATCGAACGAAATTTGATAGTGGTTATCAAAATTTTGATGGCTGCAACGAAACATTAACAACGGCATGACCACCATGTGGTCACGCTTCCATGTTAAATCATAGGCATCACAAATGAGGCGCAGGGAACGTGTTAAAAGTGCCCAAAAGGGCCAGGGCCAACCCTGGTAACTTAGCTGTTAAACACTGTTTAGTATTCAAATATCCAGTCAAACACTTAAAATTGTGCAACAAAGTGTTAAACACTTGCATATGCACGCCACTTGAACATTTTATTTTTCAGTGTGTGGCGCAATGCCGTTCCGTGCTGTTCGTGCGCGGGGGCAGTTCCTCGTAATCGCTCTGATACTTTTGCGTATAAATAGTGCACCTGCCAGTCCTCGGTACGCGCCGCCGGTACTTCACCGAGTACTTCACGCACTTGAGGACCGCCGTAGCGATGCTCCTTGCGCCACGCGCCGCCGCCCACTTGAGCGCGGGGCAAGCCGACCGAACCGACCTTTGCGCCTGGTGCCCACCTGAAAATTAAACCGTATAGCCCCCAAATTGTTAATTGCAACCACAGCTTTATTCTATCAGCTGGTTTTCAGTATATTCTGAGTTTAGCTTTTGGACCGTCTCAAGCTTATGCTGCTTATGCGGCCGCCTCTTCAGTCACAAAAGTGTATTTGTCAGTGGAGTGTGAGTGAGTGAGTGGCTGGGTGAGTGAGTGAGTGAGTGAGTGAGTGAGTGAGTGAGTGAGTGAGTGAGTGAGTGAGTGAGTGAAGAAACACGGGCTGTCCTCTCTGCTGCTAGTCATTTAAGACAACAATACGGAAGGAAAAAAATTATCAAAAGGACTACAGTCAGTATGAAGACAATTTTATTTTCAGTTAAGTAACAAGTCAAGACTGCTCTGAAACTATCTGTCTATCGGCTACTGTCCCAGCCAGCACTTCTCGTAGATGTCCATCGCAATGCGAACGGCATCACCTCCTACAGCCATGGTGACGCAGAGGGGGAACTCGAGGGCAAACGGCACGGACGCTTCATGCTCTCTTGCCAGTTCTATGCACCCGATGATGATCGATTGCACATCCGTAGAGGATTTGGAAAGTACATCAGCGATGCACTTGGGAGCTGGTGGGACAGAGAAAAAAGAAGTTTAGTTTACATTTGACACTAAAATGAAAAACTGCACGTGAACCCAGTGAGCTGCATGATCTCGATCCGATATCAGAACGATATCGCTCGCCTCGCTACTCTGTCGCTGCTGTTTGTTGCGTTCCAAGGAGAACAGGTTTGTCACTTTCAAGTCATTTTGGAGTCTTTGACGTCTCTAGTGACATCCCAGTGGGCATAAAAAAGTCAAAGTGATGTCATTTGACGTCAAAGGGGTCATTTTGATGTCATTTCCATATCATTTTGATGTCAAAATGATATCAAAATGACATCAAAATGACCCCCTTGACGTCAAATGACATCACTTTGACTTTTTTCTGCCCACTGGGATCCCTCGAGCCAAAATAGTGACTATTTGACGTCATTTTCATGTACTTGTGACTATCCTGTTCTCCTTGGGGTGGAGGTGGAGATTGCTCACTGGGAAACCGCATCTTACATGGATTGTTGGCAGCCTTAGTTTCCGTTAGGCCAGCTGAGAGGCTCGGCATCGCCTAGAAAAAAAGAAGAGAACAGACTTTTGAATAAAACGTCGTGGATCTCATGTCCGGCTTCGGACGGTTTCGCAACCTTAGTGTTAATTCAAATAACATAAGAACAGCGTCATTGTTCTCCACGCACTTCATAATCCGGCGCTTTTTGCACCATTTAAACGTTATAGTAAAAGTTTTCAGATAAAGTGTTGCGAAAGAGACAGGCGTTTACCTGAGCGAACTGAAGCGCTGCGAGGAGCATGCAGGCCAGCAGGGTAGTCCTCATGACGGTCTTCATGGTGGAGCAGATACTGAGTGTATGATTGTGCTTGTAAAGACCCGGCGGTTTTATAGGAACAGTCGCAGCTTGAGGCGTCGGTCTACCATCCTTTATCGGCCAGGTGGCTTGGGTGGCCTGTGCACCTGTGTCACTCGAGCTTACGCGAGGGTCAAGTAGATCGAGTGGTTTCCATGG